GKRSKTYWMYGRMRSTTTCTGCTTCTTTTCYGCCGACCCAGGATGGAGGTTACGAGGGTTCCGGCGCCCCTTTTGSCGGCACTCCTCCTTTGYTTCCCCCTCCTTCTTTCCACCATTTTCTTGCTCCTCTCTGCCCGGTTGTTGCTTACGGCTGTTTGGTCTGCTTGCTCCCAACATACAGCGGTCTGCACGAGTGCCCCCCCTTCTCTTCCTTTCCCGTGCATTCTTGGCTTGATTGCTTCTTCCTTTTGGCTGTTTGGGCACAACATCTGCCTCTGGGTAATGGCGGCAGTCCTCATGCGACCTCGTATTGGCCAATGCGTCTTCTATTAGTGCATCGCCTACCCTTACTCCATGCGGTGATATGGCACCAGGTTGAGAGAGTTTTTCCTGGGTGTATGGGTGGTTGCAATACGATTAGGGTAGCGGAGGTTGTGACATGTGGGGACATGAGGTGACCATGGGTCCACGTCCAGGTGCTGAGGGTAGAGGTGGCAGTGGGGGATGGAAGGATGGGGAGTACGGGTTCGATTGTGGTTCATTTGTTTTGGCAAGGGACGAGCTTAAGGCGCCTGAGGGATGGGCTGATCGGGGGATGCGCGGGATTTTAAGAGTATGGGACGGATCGATCGAGATCGCATTTATCAGTTGTCATTAGGCTTGGATTTAGGGAGGTGTTTCGACGGCGGCGACTACTGGAGCGGCGTACGTGGGCGAGCGAGTATGAATGTGGAAGGAGATGAGACGATGTGGGCCGATCTTGTCCATGCTCTTTGCCGATTGGGTGTGGGAGGAGGGGGAGTGTGTTGATAACAGCAGTATCAATCTGTAGAGGCAACTGCTTGTGCTCTAGTGGTTTTGCGAAAGCTTTGCGCATGGTTTATTCGTCGATGTTCACCATGGATTGAGAGGATCGGTTTGCTCGACAATCGTCGCTGCGGCCTTTGGTTGCTTTGTCCTTAACCGCTATATGCATGGACTTACGATGGAGTTGGTTGTGAGTGTATGGGTGCATTTCCCATCCTTTTTCTCCCGGATTAGTGCCTTAGTGGTGACGATGACGAGTGTATCCCTTCCACATGGTGCTTGTGAGGAGGATAGAATATTAACCTATGTTACCATGCGTTCAACTTGGTGCTTGTGACGAAGGCCCGCGTTTCGTCGCGGGGCGGTATATAGCGAGGGGAGCGTTCGCACGCGACGCAGTCGTGCAGTGTGCGTCAAGCGTTCCCCACGTTTACTTCGACAAGTGCTGCACACGCACTGTGAACGAGTGAACGAACGCGCGCGCGCGCGCACGAGAGAGAGAGAGAGAGAGAGAGAGAGAGAGAGAGAGAGAGAGAGAGAGAGAGAGAGAGAGAGAGAGAGAGAGAGAG